AATACTTTTCTCCTCTCCTTCTTCTTCTTCTTTCTCGTTTCTTTCTTCTTTCTTCTTCTCTACTTTGACCTAGAAACAACTAGGGTTTATTCACACTATCCATGTGTTTGGTTGTCGTCGTTTCGTCCAAGGCCATTCTCTTACTCGTGGAAAACTTGATCCTTGTACCATTCCTTTTGTTTTCTTGGGTTATCCTTCTTTCCAAAAGGGTTATCGATGTTTTGACCCCGTTTCCAAGAAGTACTATGTTTCTATGGATGTGTCTTTCTTTGAAAGTGATCCTTTTTTCTTGGTTTCTCCTTAGGGGGAGAGTAAGGTGGAGGAGAAATCAGTTCAAGTTCAGGTTCTTCCTCCTTTGCTTGACCCTCCTCCATTCCATGTTTTTCGTCGTTGCAAGAACCAGCTAAATTCAAGAGTTGTGGAGCAACTTGAAACTGTACCACCAACATCATCAGATTCACCGAGGACAAATCATATCCAACCAGGTACTATCATTCCTATTGATGTTCCTGATCGTCTTGCCATAGAAATTCCATCWAGTGATGACCTTGACATTCCTATTGCAAAAAGGAAGGGAGTTAGGTCTTGTACCACCAAGTATCCTATTACCCATTTTGTTACCTATGAGAACATCTCACCCTCCTTTCGTGCTTTCATTTCTTCCATTGATAGTGTTCCTATCCAAAAAAATGTGGCAGAAGCTCTCTTAGTACCTGAATGGACAGATGCAATGAAAGAAGAGATAAATGCCCTACATAAAAATGGTACGTGGGAATTAGTGGATCTTCCTGAGGGTAAGGAACCGGTAGGGTGCAAGTGGGTGTTCATAGTGAAGCACAAAGCTGATGGCATGATAGAAAGGTACAAGGCTAGGTTGGTGGCAAAAGGGTTTACCCAGGTATATGGTGTAGATTATGTAGAGACTTTTGCCCTAATAGTCAAGATGAACTCCATTAGAGTCCTTTTCTCCCTTGCGGCAAATCCTGATTGGGATCTTCATCAGCTAGACATTAAAAATGCCTTCTTGAATGGTGACCTTGAGGAAGAGGTGTACATGGTCCAACCTCCTGGCTTTAGTGCCCTAGGCAAAGAGCAGAAAGTGTGCAGACTAAAGAAGTCTTTGTATGGTTTGAAGCAATCACTGAGAGCCTAGTTCAACAAGTTTCATCTAGATTGGCTACAAACAATGTTAGACTAACCATACTCTATTTGTGAAAAGAGGGGAAGGAATGATTGCAGCCTTGATAGTGTATGTTGATGACATAGTGATTACAGGTGACTGGAAGGCTGAAATTCAGAGACTAAAAGATTTCTTAGCCACTCAATTTGAGGTGAAGGATCTAGGTCCCCTTCAATATTTCCTTGGAATTGAAGTGGCCCACTCTCAAAAGGGGATTTTTATTTCTCAGAGGAAATACATCCTAGATCTGTTACAGGATACAAGAAAACTAGGGGTTAAGCCAGCTGACTCTCCCATTGATCCAAATCACAGATTGGGTGACTGTTGTGGTGAAGTTGTCAAAGATGTAAAACAATTCTAGAGACTTGTGGGAAGGCTCTTGTATTTATCTATGACTAGGCCAAACATTGCTTATGTAGTAGGTGTTCTTAGTCAGTTCATGCATGCTCCTAAGACCACACTTAGAGGCAGCAGAAAAAATACTCAGATACCTAAAAAGGTTTCCTAGAGCTGGTTTGTTATACCAAAAGAATGGTCATTTGAAGATTGAAGTATATATAGATGCTGATTGGGTTGGATCAGTTGATGACAGAAAGTCTATTAGTGGGTATTGTTCCTTTGTGGGAGGAAACCTAATCACATAGAGAAGCAAGAAACAAAATGTGGTGGCTAGGTTTAGTGCTGAAGTTGAATATAGAGCAATGTCCCATGGGGTGACTGAAGGCATGTGGATAAAGAATCTGTTGAACGAACTAGATTTTCCTGTTGATAGCCCTATGTCCTTGTATTGTGATAATAAGGCTGCCATCAATATTGCAGCCAACCCTTCTTCATGATAGAGCTAAGTATATAGAGGTTGACAAACACTTCATTAGAGAGAAAATTGTTAATGGGGAAGTGTGCACCCCATATGTGAGTTCCAAAGAGCAATTGGCAGATATATTTACAAAAGGCTTACATCACTCGTGACACAATGATTTATGTGACAAGTTGGGCATGATTGATATCTACGTCCCAACTTGAGGGGGAGTGTTGAAATAACTTAGTTTATTTTAAGTTCAGTGCTGCAAAGGCACCTTTGTAATTTTCTCTTTTCTTTTTTTCTGTATGGTCRCCCTAGTATAAATACCAAATAAACTGGCGCTGCCAGTTGACTTTTTGCCTCTTTCAATTCTGTCCCTCTTTTCTCTCTTCTCCCTTCTCCTTCTCTTCTCTCTGTTCTGGAATCACACCATCTCAGCACCAAGAAAACAATCCTCATAAGCCAAGAAATTTCATAAGCATCCAACTGTTAAGTTGTTATCTTCTATCCTTCACAGTAATACTGACATGGTGCAAAGGTATACCAGAGGAACTTTAGGCTGCCAATGGATCAGAGTGGAATTGAGGGGGCAGCTCCACAAGTTTCCAGATTCTGCCTTTTTGGTTCATTTTCATTGTGGAGCAGGATTTGGAAACTAATGTAATTAGGAATTCCAGTTCCACACTTGTGGTCTATTTGAAAATTGAAAATTCCTAGGTTCTTATAATTTGAACTATATGGGATTGAGTTGGGTATGAAATTCAATTGAAAATTTTTCCCTGCTGTCCTAACAAAACCTTAGGACAGAATTGAGGGGTCCATTTCTGTTGCTTCAGTTCATTTTCATAATTGAGCAGAATTTTGAATTTGGCATATTTGAGCCGTCAATTCCATAGTATTAGCATATTTGAATATTAGTTCATATATTTGAACATTAGTTCAGAGCGTCTGTTCATTTGAACTTGATGGAATTAAGGTGGAAGTGGAATTCAATTGTAATTCAACTCCAACAATACAAACATAGCCTTATATCCTTATAGGTGATTCTTGAAATTCCATATGATCTTTGGTGAAATGTTGTCACCAACTTAGGAAAGGGAGTAAGATGGAAGGATGTAGTGATGTGTATATGTGGTATCACTTGTAAGGGGGAGGAAAATTACTAAGGCCGTTGGCACTTCAGTGGCTACAACAAGAAAGAAGAATGCATCAAAGACTTGAATATACACAAGCTACCACAAATTTATTACCAAAAAGTTCATATTCAAGTAACATTCTCATTTTTTTAAAGGAAAGGGTTACTGGAAATGTGGAAAATAATGAATGGGTTGTATAAGTTAAATATGTAACTGCAACATCAAATTGATAGATGTTCATTATTATTGAGTTTCACTCCAAAGTTCAACTTACCGTGATAATAAATAAGTTAGATGCAGGTTTGTTTAGGAGTATGGGCACTGCATTTTAAGATGAGATGCAAATCTTGTCTTTAGAGGATAAGATTGAGATTTTAGTCAAATTGAAATACTAGTCTTCAAAATTGGAACAATACAGAGAAGATTAGCATAGCCCTTGTGCAAGGATGACATACACAGATTGAGAAACGGTCCAATTTCTTTCCTTTTGATGATTAATAAATACTTCAAAAAAATAATAGTCTTCAAAATTTTCATTAATCATTTAATTGTTAGAGAAAGAGGGTTGGCCTTGGCGCAATGGTTAGGTTGCTCTATTATGACATGGGTGACCAATCAAGTCTTGGAAGCAGCCTCTCTGTATGTGCAGAGGTAAGGCTGCGTACTTCTGTCCCTCCCCAGACCCCACATTGGCGGAAGCCTTGGGCACTGGGCTGCCCTTATTTATTTGTCAGAGAAAATTCTCAATCTGGCAGTTGTTTCTTTTTGTTTTTAAATCCTTTTGCCTGTTTTTCCATGTTTTCTTTTTTGTTTTTTGTTGCAACCTTCTTGGAATGAAGAATTTTATTGTATTGGAACTTCATTTGTTCTTTCATCATCTAAGCCTGGTCGCAACTACATGGGGCCGATCACATGAATCATGTTTCATCATTCTGTTCATCATCATCATCATCACCATCTAAGCCTTGTTCTTCCTTGGTAATTTATTTGGTTTAAATGTTGTAATACTCGAAATCTTGGTGCAACTGATATCGATGCATTCTTATGTTCTTGGATTATTATTTATATCATTCTGTGAATGTTAATTCAGATATGGATATAGCACATTGTTATTTGGATGGCAATGCTGATGCTGTAGAGTTCTGCCCACATGATTCCTTCCACAATGTTCTAGCCGCTTCTACATACACATTGCAAGAGGGTGTGCAGCCTAGTCGGTCTGGAAGCATATCACTTTTCTCTGTTGGTGCTGATCAAGGGAATCTTCAGTTGCTTCATCGTCTAGACACAGCTGGCATCTTTGACATCAAATGGAATCCAATTGGAGTTGGTGTGGGTCCCCTACTAGCTCAAGCTGATGCCAATGGCTACCTAAGACTTCATGGTTTAAAGTGCTATTCTGATGGACTAGAAGGTAGATGCACACTCAATTTTAACTCTTCCCACTAGTTTTTGAAGGCTGAGGAAGATGTTGGATCATTCATTATTAATACTTTTTTGTAAGATTTCTGGCTAATGATTATAGTGGTGGAAGAGAATCTTACAAGGATGACCAGAGTTCTGGCTAATACTTCATGTTTTAAAAGTTTCTAGTTAATTCTCTTGGTTGGGTCTATATGCTTATGTTTTAGGATTAATGAAATAGGTACTTTTTTCTATGCTCCAATGCAAAACTTAGAACCATACTCAATCTACCACTCCCATGACCCCAGCTAACTAGGTGATAGATTTATCATTTAGTGTTTGCAATCACAGTTATTTGATTGAATCAACTGAAGACCATAAGACGAGCAACTGTTTGTGCTCCACTCTAAACATCAAATGCCTGTATATGAGATAAAACTATGTGATACTTTATGGTATAACACCATTGTAGGAAAAATAATTGATTTGCAAAGCAATAAGCTCTAGCTCTGATGCATTTCTAGTTCTGATATTTGGCTAGCGAACATCTTTTGTTGAATTTCATCTCATGCAGGGGCTCAGCTGAAAGAAGTAACTGGAGAAAAAATCAATTCATCCATGTGCCTGTGCTTGGATTGGAATCGATCATCCACGTCCATTTCCCTGGGGCTTTCCAATGGTTCTGTCTCTGTAATTACTCTTGGAGAGACCAAGTTACAGACAATACAAACCTGGGAAGCACATGAATTTGAGGTTTGGGCTTCATCCTTTGATATCAACCAGCCACAACTGGTGTACACTGGTTCTGATGATTGCAAATTTAGTTGTTGGGACTTACGGGAAAGTCCTGCAAAGTTGGCATTTCAAAATACAAAAACTCATAAGATGGGTGTATGTTGTGTTTCAAAGAGTTCCATGGACTGTAATACACTACTTACTGGGAGTTATGATGAACACCTCAGGGTATGGGATGTAAGATCAATCTCAAAGCCAGTGACTGAGAATTCAATTTGTTTGGGAGGAGGAGTCTGGAGAATTAAACACCATCCTTTGGTCCCAAACCTGATCTTGGCAGCTTGTATGCACAATGGTTTTGCAGTTGTAGGAATTAAAGAGGGGAACATCAAATTGTTAGAGACTTATAACAAGCATGATTCTCTGGCGTATGGAGTAGACTGGCAACGAGGAACTTCATCCAAGGAAGGCGGAAGAAAAAGAGGCTATGTGGTCGCTACATGTTCATTTTATGACCGGCTTCTTCGAATATGGGTGCCAAATATTGAAGTGGTTGTGTGACATTTTGCTGGATTCTGCTCTTTGATAAAGGTTAGTAAAGTATATTTCCAGTCCACCAATACCTGTATTTCATTTGGGTTTTCTCCACTGTACACTAATAAGATTGTTTTTTTAACATTTTAAAATCAATGAAGAGGAAAACTAGGATATTAGTGGTGAAGGCGTGTTTTTAAGAAAAATGTGAGCCATTCCGATGTTTGACAATGGAATGTGTACGACTAGAAAATATGTTTGGCACACTGTTGTCAATTGCTTAGTACAAGTTGCTTGGTTGAAGCACTTCTTTTCTTTTGTTTTTGCAACAGTTCTAGGTGGCTTATACTGCATGAGAGAGAGAGAGAGAGAGAGAGGCTAGAACTAATTGCTTATAATTCCCTTCCCGGTATGATGAAGATGCTAAAACTTTTAATTAAACATGTCACTTTATGCCAGAGAAAATGATGCATCATCCATGACATACATTCTTACCTCTTGCTGCCTGGTTAAATGTGATTTTTCCAATCTAGCCATCTTTATATTCAAAGTTGTCACTGTAAAAAAGTGGATTTTCGGTCTTGAAATTCGTGTCTGTACTCATAACAACCAAAAACATGAAAATGAATCAGCATATTGTATTTGCACTCTTCCCAAACGGAGCCCAAAGTAAAATTGAAATAATAACTGTTTTTAGGTGGGATAAGTTAGATCTAACACTTGAGCTGCCATAAACGAGAGCAGGGTATTGCCAATTGAACTATTATCTGCCATCTATAAAAAAAAACAGAAAAGAAAAAAGAAACAATGAACTATTATCTGCCACATTAGGAGTTTAGGACAAGTATCAGGCAATGCGACTTAGAATGACCATTTTCCTCTCAGAAACTTGCACCATGGCAACTCATTTGGAATCAAAAAATTCCTTTTAGGCAAGGTTCAAAGTATCGACACGTATCGGTTTGTATGTATCGTTCCGGGACCCCTCCAATACGCTCCTATAGTGGGTGTATAGGGGGTCTGGCCGGTTCAGGGGATGGAGGAGCCCTAAACCGGCCCCTCTGAACCAGTTTCAAAAAAAAAAAAAACTAAAAAAAACAGTATTGATTCGCCCGATACGGCCATACTGGCATATCAGACATATCGATATTTTGAACCTTGCTTTTAGGTTCCAGATATTTCTGTGGAAGCTTTTTTGGGAAGCTGTCTTCACTAGAAACAAATTAAATTTTCTAAAGAGGACCAATCTTACATCATGTGCAACGATGCTGTTGAAACAACCCATCATTTATTTTTCTTTTGCCTGTTTGCAAGGGCAGTTTGGGATGGATTACAGGTGGGATTCAACATACAAAGTTCCTCTGCAAACTCAATGCATATATACATTCATAACTGGTACAGAAATCTTCCTTGTAGCCTGTCAAAATTGCAGTTGCGGAGATTTTGGGGTGCAAAAACGGAGCATCTCCCAATCTCTTATCTGGGGATTCCTCTTGGAGGGAATCTGAAGATTCAAAGTTTTTGGGAACTAGTGTTGGAATTTGGAAAAATGTGAGAAGAAGCTGGCCATGTGGAAAAAGAATTATTTATCCAAAGGGAGAGACTCACTCTTGTAAGAGATTCTTTGGCAAACCTGCTTATTTACTACCTTTCTACTATTCGCATGCCCAACAAATTAGCTAATCAGCTAGAAAAACTTAAGAGAAATTTTCTTTGGGAAGGAGACGGGGAAAGGGGGTCTCACCTTGTGAGCTGGTCTCAGGTTTGCAAACCTTAGGAGGGTGGTGGTTTGGGAATGGATCACTTGAAAGAAAGAAATGCAGCTCTTCTCAGCAAATGGCTGTGGCGATTCCCTTGAGAACCAAATGCACTTTGAATTGCTGTCACCACTAGCAAGTACGGGAAGTACACGATCGGTTGGGATAGCAATATTCACTTGAACTGGATTAAAGACAACCCATGAAAAGGTATAATCTCGACTTGTAACTTTTTTTTCTATTTCATCAGATATAAGGTGGTCCAAGGGAGATAGATTTATGGTGGGGTAACACTAAATTGGCCGATTCCTTCCCTCACCTTTTCAGCCTTACAATCTCTCATTTCCCAATTTTTGCCCTCTTTCCTCCATCATTTCAACTGGAACCTAAACCTTAGAAGACTACTAAGGGATTCAGAACTCAGTGAAGTCACTAGCTTTCTGGATACCCTTAGAGAGGTATACCTCTCCCAAAATTCCCCTCACCTTCATGTTTGGACCCTTCACCTGGCAGGTAAGTTTTCAACCAAGTCTTGCTTCAAGGCTTTAACTAAGGAAGAACAAACCTATGATCAGTTTCCATTCAAGAGAGTTTGGTGCTTCCATATCCCTTACAAGGTCTTTTTTTTTTTTTTGTGTGTGGAGGGGCATTCAAAAAAAGAACATTGGAAGATCTTATTTTCCCCTTCATGTCTACTTCTTTTGCCTTAAAACTGGGACTGTATGAGAGGAAAGAAATGCAAGAATATTTGAAGAAAAGGAAAGAAGCAAGGAAGCCTTGATAGAAACAATAACCTTGAGAGGGGCACATTGGGCAAAGAGTTTGAAGCTATTCTTAGACTTCAAGATTGAAAATTTCTTAGAGCTTGGGGTGTTATTGTTGCATCCTCAACTACAAGACAAAGATCTATTGAGACTTGGTCTCCCCCAACAAAGATTTCTTCAGAGCTTGGGGTATTATTGTTGCATCCTCAACTTTGATGGGAGTTGTTTGGGTAATTCGGGCCCCTCAGGTTTAGGGGGGCCATTAGGGATGAAGAGGGGAATATAAATGCTTTATACTCCAGCTCCATGGAGCAAGGTATGCGGCAACTGGCAAGATAGGAGTTTTTGGCTGCAGTTTATGGGGTTGAGAAGGCAAAAGAACTAGGTATTAGCAAGCTGATTTTTGAGGGAGACTCCAAAACTGTGGTAAAGTGGCTGCTTAAGGGGGAGGGGGTGGCATGGCATTTGAGGAATGATCTCAGGAGATTCAAATGGCTATCACAGGACATGTCAATCCGAGTGACATGGGTGAGGAGAACTGCCAACAGCTTGACAGATAGCTTAGCCAAGCAAGGGGTACATAGAAAACACATGTTTTGGGCTCAAATGTAATTTTGAATTGGGACAGCTTCTAAAGTTGGTTTTCTTTTACAGCTTCTTGTTGTATCCTGGTTTCTTCTAGTTAACGAAATCTATTTTTTTTTCTTATTTTTTTTTTTTTGTGTTGCTGATCCAAAAACAAAATTGGGGAATCCAACAACCACATCTTGCTTCACTATGAGGAAACCAGAAAACTTTGAAACTTTTTTCTCACCCTTTTTGAGTGTAGTTGGGTCTTCCCAGAACATGTGGTTGATTGTTTAGGACAATGGACATGAAGAGGATTAAGCAAAAGATGGAAGACGTTGTGGCAATCTGCTGCTCATGCTATTCTTTGGAGCATTTAGGAAGAAAGAAACAATCGTGTGTTCAACAATAGAACTAGAAACTATGAGGAGCTCATTTCCATAATCTCCTATAGATGCATCCTGTGCAAGGTTTAAAATGTTGGTTTCGGTGGAAATGTCGCTCATCCAAATATAAGAAACATGTCGAAAATGTTGAAAATATTGTAAAAATTATAGACATGATGGAAACATTGTAAAATATGCAAAATATATAATAATATTTTATGAAGTGATAAAATAAGCATAGTTTCACCCTTTTAAATTATTATCCTATTCCAAATCACTATACCAAGCCAAGAAACTAAGGTTATAGACAAAAGAATACACTTAGAAGTTGCCCTGCAAACTTTAAGATTCAAAGCTTCATTATAGAATGAATTAAAACAAAATTTGAACTCATAGAAAATGTAAATGGTTGTAATATATGAACCAAATAATTTATTACACAGAGAAAAACTAATATTTAACTTCATGCTTGAAATGAGTATTAAGCTAGCTTAAAGTGGTAATCATGTAAGTTTGGTGGGCAATAACATTGCTACTCCACATATCAACAACATTTTCACCAACTTATGTCGTAATACTATCTCTTATACTCCATATAGTGCTAGTAGTGTTCACTAGGGAATATGTATGTCATGGAAATTATCTCTTGTACTCCACACAATGTTGGTAGTGTTCATTGAGGAATATGTCAATTTTGGTGAAATTTTGTGTCGCTACCCATGAGAATGGAAATATGTCATCGAAATATTAGAGAAATTAAGGACATTTTAAACCATGTTCCTATGGACTTCCAGTTCAGAGTATTTTAGCGGTGTATCCTTTGTTGACCTTCAAAGGAATTATGTAAATTTCCTTCATTCTAAACATATATATTCCAACATCACCCGCAATTTCAAAGCTGCTGAGGACGGGGAGACAACCTTGTATTTTGATGGTAGTGCCTTCAGTAATCCAGGCATAGTAGGAATTGGAGGTGTCCTTAGAAGAAGAGATGGCCCTATTAGTTGGGCCTTTAGTGGACCAACTATGGGAGCCTTTTCAACAAAGGTTGAACTCATGGTAGCCTTAACTAGCATCAGGATTGCAAGAGACCTTGGTTATTTGAATCTCACCATCAAAGGAGATTCTTCCAATACTATTTATTTAAAAATCCACTAAACTTCCATTTAAAACTAATAAATATTAACAAAACTTGATAAAAATTAAAAACACTAATAAAAATCAAACTTAATAATAAGAAATTTAACTAAAATTCCACTAATAAAATTAAAAACATTTTAATTCCACTTACAAATCAAACTTAATAAACACTAATACAAATAACAAATTTAATTACAAAAAATATTAATTGATAGTTTCAATAATATTATGATTTAAATATAGGTTTAATATATTGCAAATAGAACCTGCATTTTGTTTTGTTTATTCTTTTTTATTTTATTAGATCACTTTGTATTAATATATTTTAATTAATTAATTAATAATATTGTTAAAATTAATAATTTGTATGAGTTGATACTTTTAATGTGCATAGAAACCTGTAATGTGTGATACATGACATACAACAACAACAACAACAGCAACAACAACAATAATAATAATAATAATAATTTATATATAATTTGAAACCTAATATCTATATCTATAATTAATAAAAGTTACTAAAGTTAATACAAATATTAAAGTTTAGCAGGTTTTTATCTTGCAACTATTAAAAGTTAAGAAAATAATAAAAATTAGTATAATTAATATTATTAGAATAATTAAAATTAATAATAAAAAGTAAAAATGATAAAAAATAATAAATAA